GGGAGGAGAGGTGGGGATCAAGATGGCACTCCCTGTTCCCAGTGGGGTTAAAGGATAAAATGAACAGTTCCTAGAGGTAAAAACCTGGGATTTTGGTGATGGACCTTTGGCTTACAGGATATGGTCAGACTTTGTGGAGGTCCCCACCCTTCTGCACCCTCTGTCCCGCTCACAGTGAGCTGAGTCCTGGGAGGTAGACTGAGGAGAGACTACCCTGAGTTATGGGTCCTATAGTAGGAGTGCTGTAACACCTGCCTGGTATAGGAGAGTATGGGTGATGGGTGGGTAGAGCCCCTCCCGTGTTACAGTCTGCCAAGTAAAATCCATCAAATCCCCAAAATCCCCACCCTCCCCCAACACTACTTACCCAGCTCTACTCGTGATTATGACTTGAAGGGTTATGAAGGGCAAACGACCAGAGCTTCACTATGACCTACCTTCAGCAGCAGATTTTTTTTCTTCATGCATGACTGTGGTAGTCATTACTAACATTAGAGACCTTTTAATATGATTATTTTAATATAAATATTACTTTTTTGAACTCCATGAAAGAACTGTATAGCCTGTTTAAATAGCCAGTCATTTCTACATGCAAGAAATAAAGCTACTAAAACAAAACATTAAAGCATAAGTATATTTTTAAAGACAGAATATAACTTTTATCCATTTTTTAAAAATCCAGTCTGTAGTGTGTAGCATGTAAACATGGCATTTTGTTAATACAGCTTCTGACCATTTAGAAGCTGTACAGATTAGAGCATATGGAACATGATATGAAAGATATGAGTTTTCTTTACTTCAGACAACTTTGTCAAAGACCCATACTGAAGGAAATCAACAGTGATTGTCCTAAATCACATGAAGTCTGTCATAAGAAAGTAGTTAGGTGTGCAGGTAAATAACCAAAATTGCTACAAAGATCAAAGGCATGTTGCAGTGTGAAAACAATGTGACTTATTGTTCCTCTTCAGACTCACTACATACAAAACAGACTTGCTCTTTTTCTCAGTAATATTTATTGTGAGCATGAGATTAAGTGCCACTTGGAAAAGCTGAGCCCTTTTTTGGCTTCCCATACAGCATAATATAGTGACTGAATCTCCAAGCAGTTTCCACATACCACCCAGGAACCATAAGCAGCAATTCTTTAAAGAATATTACAGATTGTAATTACCAACTAGCGGTTTACACAACATCACACTCTTGCAACCTGTTTAGAGATGAAAATGTTACATGCCACAATCAAATAACTACATCCATATTTATTACCAGTGGACAAGAATAACAATGTACATTGCTTTGGTAACATAATCATAAACCCTATACTAAAAATCCTTATTTTCCAATGCTCATACTGCAATTAGAGGGTGCAAATGACCACCATCCACTAACTATGGAATTTCAGCTCACCAGTGTTTGCCTTTTCAACTGTAATAGATGATGAAACAATACCTGGTCCCATCTCAAACAAGGTGTTAATTAAATGAGACATGATGAGGACAAACCACAGTTCAAAACAGAACCTAATAAAATGAATAATATGAGTAGAGGAAATTGCTACAAGCCTTCTGACGAGGAGTTACCTGATCCATAGGTAATCAAAACCAAAAAGGTTGTGAATGGGCAAACAGTAATGGAAGCTTTGAATTACCCAGCTATTAAAAAATAAAGAACATAAATGGAGATGAAGTTGAGGAGCTTCTAAGTAATAATTATGAGAGTACGATTTTTATTTTATTTTAATAAAAGTGAGCAAAAAAAAAATATGGATGATGAATATCCACAAAGTACATTTTGAAGAAAGTGAAACAATGGTGGGAAGTGGTGGATGATAAGTGGGATAAAGGGAAAGGGCTAAAAAGAAAATTGCGTGTATTAACAAATTCATATATGGCCATACACTATTAGCATTAATTACAACATAAAAAACAAAGGCCAATATGGAGAAGCAGAAGATGCAAAGAGTAATCAAAAGTGGGAAATGAAACAATGCAGTTTTCTTCCCTTTGATACAATCTCTCACTTGGTAACTGTACCCTTTATGTTAGTGATCATATTGCTCATAATGATATGCCATCTCAAAAAATTCTGAGCTGAATTTCAGAGATTCTGAGGAACTGCAGTTCCCACAGAAATCAATGCTCACTACTTCTGAAAACCAGGCCAGTTATGATTAAACAGAGATTAGAGAAGCAATGGATCAGTTGATGTGTATATAAATTTAAGATTAGCATAGCAGAATACTATACCTCAATATATAAGTTATCATTTTTCTGTTTGTTTCCTTGTGAAATTCACTATAATGCCATTTTGGGAAGATACTACAGATTTTCTAAAGAGGAAGGATCAGACTCAGAAATAGCTCAGCACTTCGGCCCAAAGACTGCCCTTTGTGAAATAAGAAGGAACACATTCAGATATGCCATAAGAAATCTCTATAAAAATATATGCAAAAACAAATTCAACTACCATTTTTATGGAGATGACATACAGATCTATGTGTCTACTCCAGACCTGTCTCCTTCCATCCAAACCAAAAGCTCAGCCTGTCTCTCTGACATCTCCTCATGGATGTCTAACCACTAGCTCAAGATCAACATGCTAAATCAGAGCTCTTAATTTTCCCTTCCCCCAAGCTCCTCCTGCTACCTCCCTTCTTGATTACTGTGGACAACAGCACCATCCTGCCTGTCACTAGGGTCATCACCTGGGTATTATCTTTGACTTAGACCTCTCTCTCTAGGTCCTCATATCCAGGCTATGTCTAAATTTTGCCAATTCTTTATGCATAACATCTCTAAAATACAGCCTTTCCTATCCATCCACACAGCAAAAACTCATTCAGGCTCTCATCCGCTCTCATCTTGACTACTGCAATATCCTTCTCTCTGGCCTTCAAAAATGTCATCTTGCCCCACTCATTCAGAATACAGTATTTTCCTAGCCCCTTGCTTTGACCATCTTCTGTTGGCTCACCCTCCTCTATTGCATCAAAAATTAGCTACTTGTCTTCACTTTCAAGGCCCTTCATGGCCTATCCACACCGTACCTATCATCTCTCATTCACCGTAAGATGTCAACCATCACCTCTGAACATCCCATGATAACAATGTCAATCACCCACTTGTTACATTTCCAAACAAGCACTTTTGTGCTTTGTCTCCTTCTGCTCCCCATGTTCGGAGGAGCACCCTGTAATCATCTGCAAATACTCATTCAAAAAAAATTCTTCTTAATACTCTCCTTTGCCTACAAAAATTTTCACAACGGGTCACTGGTGATAACAATTTGCTGAGAAATCAACACAGCAGCGTGCCATGAGAAAGAACCAAGATAAGTTCCCGATGTGTCAGTCCTGGAGTGGAGAGTGAATACAAATGGCTTGGTGTCTCTTTTGACTCAATCCTTTCCATAGAAAATCCTGTGCCAGACATAGTACCAAAGTTGTTTGTGCATACCAGACCTTATTTATCCAAAGAGTCTATGCTCTTATTTATTTGGCGAGGTGACAACCTTACTGAAGTAACTTACGCTTCAGAAACATAAGAATAATTAATTGTCATTTTCTCCTAGCAAAGCTTCTTCAGCACTTTTAGATAGCTCAGAATGCAGCAGCACTTTTGCTCATTCATTTAAATAATTGTAGGCATGTAACACTCTCCCTGCATTCTTTATAATTATCTGCTGATACAATTACAGATTAGCTCTTAGCTCCATTTCCAACAGTACTACGTTAACATGGACTAGGGAACTTTCAGTGCACACCACCAGGATCTACGTGATCAGTTAGTGGACAATGAGCTAGTGTGCATTAAAATTTACACCCCAGATGGTGCAGACTAAGGCACCATGTAGACAAGCCCTAAGTATAAGACAAAAGACAACAGATGAATAAGGACAGATGGAGATTACAAGAAAACAATAAGACAATATTGGTCAGCCTGATACGCTGTGTCTCAGCACACCAGCAGCCTAACTGTTGTCTTCTTTTTTCTTTTTGTAGGCACCACATCAAAGGATCATTTTAAGGATGATGAGTTAATTTGCAGGTGTTTACAGGGGTAATCAGCCCCAGGTGAAGTTAATATGGCATATGCAGTAGGGTCATTGACTGATTTGTAAAATCAAGAATTCTTGTTCAGAAAATAACTGGAATAATTATCAACGGCATTTATGAGAAGCATTTCAGGATGGAGTGAGGTAATTGATCACAACGATCAGTAATAAGACCTGTTTTGTTCACTGTATTACATTAGTGACCCGGAAGAAGGATTGTGCGGAAAAGTCATGAGGTTTTCTGTTCAAACAAAACTAAAGTAAGGACAGTCAATACAAAGGAAGAGTTAATATTTTGTATGATTAAACTAGACTAGGAGCGAGGCAAAATAAGTGTATTATGTAACTCACCATAGAGATAAGTGAAATTAATAGAGCTAAGAATAAATAAATAAAGCCCATATGCTAAAAGTATGAGAAATATCCACCAATATATCTGGATTTTTTTCCATTATATACCCTATGTATCGCTAATATACATTATACGCTCATACACACATACACATATATTGTACAGTGTATTCTTTATATCTCAGTATCAGTCAAGTTTATCTAGTGCTGTTGTATCTGTGTTGGTCCCAGGATATTAGAAAGACAAGGTGGTTGAGGTAATATCTTTTATTGACCAACTTCTGTTGATGAAAGAGACAACCTCATCTACCTTGTCTGTCTCATTTTATCTTGTGTCACATACAAGAAAAGAGGCATAAGCTTAAAATCCTTCCTACGCACCATGTAGATTTTCTCAAGAGTCAAAAATATGGACTGAAAGTTATTAGAGAGCCAATTTGAATGTGTGCAGGATTCAGACATTGAATACATAGCTATTCCCATAGATGTTAAATTGAGAAAAAACTGACAAAGAACTTTAACAAATAGCTGTTTACTCTTTGGTACTCAAAGATATACAGTACAAATACCCATTAACACATGTACCTACTTACCCACAAGGTCTGTATGTAAATACAATATAACTTTCTTCATCGCTTCGTTCAATGAATGTAACACATGTGTACTTTTCCCAGTGCCGCATAGCCTGTTTGAACATTGCTCGCTGGCTGCCTGGAAGAATTGTGTAACATGAAATAAACAAGGTTTTCAAAATTGCATCCTTCTTCTCGGCATTACATTTTAATCTTAGTATGACACACTGCTGCAAAAACCTAGAGATTCACTTACTTTAAAATGTGAGAAAATGCTTACCTCAGGTTTTGAAAGGTAAGGGAAGAAGGAATTGGTATTCAAATAATTTTTTCTGTAAATATATCTGCATTTTCAAAGTCTATGCACAAAGGGCCACATTTTTAAAAATCAGAAGCAAAGTTATATATCCAAAACCAGACAAGTGTGTAGTTCACTAGACAGGGAAACAAAGTGTGCACCTGAGAGATTTGTACCTTAAAATGTGGGTTTATGAGCCCATTTTTTAATCTTTATACAGTTGGAATTTAGACTGTTTTTTAACAATTTGTCCACAGCCTGTGATCATTTGGAATCTTGAACTATGTTCTCTTTTTTTCCTTTGCGTGCATGTGTTTGCAAGAGAGAGAGTGAGTTAGTATGAGAAAGAAAATTTAGTGATGATGAAAAATACCAGACTAATAAGCCTGGAGAGGGACAGTTGATGAGTGGGATTTTCAAAAGCTTTCAGCATTAGTTTATCTCCACTCCCATTGAAATCAATTGAAGTTTTACCATTGATTTCATTAGAAACACAGTTCAGCCAGCTTCTGAAAATCCCACCCTTTGTCTCTAGGACCAGACCACAGAACAGAAACCACCTAGACAGCAGCTGTGTTAGTTTCCTTGTACTCTGCCAATGTGTCCAAATCCTGACCTGAAGGAATCACCTCAAGGGCTATAGGAGACAATTCATTCTCTATACCATTACATACTTAGCTCTTTCAAACTGACAACAAGCTTGCAAATTACTGTTGGTTGTGATAGTAGTTTCTGTGATACAGAGACTTATCCAATAGGAAGATTTTTGAGACTAACACAAAAACTGAAGACCCATCATATGGTAATAATAGTTGGCCACTACCAAACTTGGTTGGATTCAAGTCAGTGACCTAAAGATGAAAGATCACTGCTTCCCCGTCTCTCCCTCATCCCATCTATCAACCCCCCCCTTTTTTTTTCTTAAACACACACAAGCGTTTTGGAATTTACCTTTCAGTATAAGAAACTTGTAATGTGTGTAACATTTCGCATTACTTATTACACTTACTTGTTCAGCACTCTTTAATAAAATGTCATTCCTAAAACAAAGGTCATGTTCAGTGAAATGTGGTGTAAATCTCCAAACTTCAAGTCTGACCTTCAGCTATGAGCTTTGGGGCAATTTCTTTGAATATTTTTTAAATCTTTCTTGACTACATTTCTTTTCCCAAGCTCTTTCAGTTTTCTGTATACCCTTGGGGCACAATTAGCAAGATGTTATTGCACAGCACTGCTGGTTCTATATTTCTCTCTCTCTTTTTCAATCCTTTTTTCCCCCGCAACCCTTTTTTTTTAAATGTCCTTCTTCCTCCCCATTAGTATTTATCTGTTTGCAGCTTTACAGGGTGGTATTTATTTTAGGCTTTTATAATACTGTATTTAAAAATTATTATATTATTTTAAAATTATCTCTAAGAAGTCACAATCTTCCCTCATATATTTTAAAGTTCCATGGTCATTCCCAATAATATTTTATGTGTGCATCTATGAAGTACATTAAAGAATTATAGAACAGATGAATTGGGCCCAGTTTGTTCATGCAGTCAGTTGAACAGGATTCACCTTACTATCAGTCAAGCCACTTGTAGCCTTGTACTGAATATGCCACAATAGTTTTGAGCCAGATTTAACTGTATCCTGCTACAAATAAATAGCAGGAAATTAGACAATGAAAACAAACAAACATTCTCACCTCCTCTGAAACATCATAGACTAATTTTATATATAAATTGCCAAATTGCCTTTGGGAACAATTTTTTAATGCACTGATAAACATTTACAGAAAAGATTTACTTAGGGACTCATCCAAAGCCAACAGACATCAATAAGAGTCTTCCCATTGACTTCAATTGGCTGTACATTGGCTCTCCATGAACCTGTTTTTAAAAAAAGACATTCATCCTTCTTCTCCCTTTGTCTTACCAGTGAAATTTCCACCTATAAAATACGGAATGACGCCCCCTGGCCATATTCTTTCTGTTCGTGACGTAGCAGCTCTGGGAAATCGGTTTTTCTCATTTTTCCCTGAGAATTTTACAGTTGAACTTCCTTTAGAAGAATTGTTTTGCTCAAAACCTGTAATGATATTTTAAAAAACACTATATGAGACAAAAGAGTTCACAAAGGAAAACATTTGTTTTCTACAAGGCCAAAGCTCCATGTTTTTGTTATGCACTTTAATAACAGAACATAGCTTTTTACACAGCAATTCGGCTTTTCAGTGCAACGTAAAAACAATAATATATTTGTTAGAAGTGCTTGAAATGGAAAGACTCAATCTTCATTATCATAATTTACATGCAATGAAGCAAAGAGGCACTTTAACACCTTAAAGAGACATTTCTAACATGATTACTTCTAGACTCTCCAATTAAAAACTATATCATTTTTCTAAAACTGCTTCCTCTAAGTAATATGCCTTGACTTTTTTTTTAAAATACCTTTTAAAAATTAGGTGGGTTTTTCTTTTCCATTGATGATGTTTAGAAGAGTCTGTTGGGCAGAGGCAATACCACCAAATGTGCTTAGGCCTGTTTCACTTCTATCCGGGCAAATGCCTGGTTTTAGTTTTAGCTACTTTCAGAGATAACCATATTATTTCAGGGCCTGGGAAAGAGCAACCACATGCACTGCTGTAGGGAAGCACTGTTAGTTTACTTCATGTCTTTTGCAGCACTTTGTGCATGGGCCATTTAACTTTTTTACTGGTGGCCAGTCACACTGGATGATGAACTCTTTCAGTGTAGTGAGCTGTCTTAGGGGCTAATTGTAATAGCAATAGACATAACATTTTCAGATGGAAATAGGAGTGTCAAGTACTTGAGGACATAGAAAATATATTCTTCAGAAACTAACTGTTTGGGATTCTATGGACATACACTATATATGTCTTAAATTGTCTTGAGAAAAAGATCCCTACACCTTGAAAGGTCTGGTGATATAAAAAATTTCTATTGTTTTGAGAGATATTACCAGAGCCAACAGTACTCCCAATTTTAAGTATTGGTAATCTCTCTCAAATAGGTAGAAAGTTAGGGTGGGATTCAAAAGGAAGATTTAGGCACTGTAACGCTCAGCATTGCAGCACCTAACTTTTAGGTGCCCTGCCACCTGTGAAATCCACAAACCCGAGTTAAGAGCAACAGAGAGTCCTGTGGCACCTTTAAGACTAACAGATGTATTGGACCATAAGCTTTCGTGAGTGAATACTCCAATACATCTGTTAGTCTTAAAGGTGCCACAGGGCTCTCTGTTGCTTTTTACAGATCCAGACTAACACGGCTACCCCTCTGATACTTAAAACCTGAATTAGGCACCCACACTCTCTGTACATTGCATGGAGAGAAATCGTTGCCTAAAAATAGGATTCACAGAAGCCAGCAAGCTAAGTGAAGAGCTGCCTAAGCTCTGTCCCTCAAGGGGACTTTGGCATTTAGCTCCAGGACCAGATGGAGGAATCTTATCTCCACTCCATGAGTTAGGCACTAAAGCCAGGTCAGTCCTTTGTCAAAAATGAAAAACAAACCAACAAAAAACATTGTAGTCTTGCATGAATAATAAAAGAAAATAGAACTACAGAAACAGAGGTTAATAATGGACAAAGCATAAACTCACAAGTGGCCTTGTAAATAACAAGTAATTAACAGTTAAAGATACAAGAAGAAGAATGATGAGTGATAAGCTTGAAGCTGCTGCCCACTTATAAAACTGGTATAGCATTCTGTAGGAGACCTGGATTCAATTCCCTGCTCTGACTAATGTGGAGTAAGGATTTGGACTTGGGTCCTCCAACTCCTAGGACTGTGCCCTAATCACTAGCCTATGTCTTTCTCAGTCATTTCTATTGATACTGTCTACTATGTATAAATACTTATATATTCATTGGCACAAAGGGACTGGAATCTGGGTCTCCCACCTCCCAAATGGGTGCCCTAATGCCCAGATTAAAGTCATTTTCTCTCTCTCTGATCCAATGTAATTATTATTATAATCTTTACTATTATTATGAAGATGAATGCAAGGACTTGCATACAATACAGTTACTTGTTTCCCTTTTCTGAAGCAATTTATAAATTAGTATAAATATCATGGTGGCAGGTTAAAATGGACTTTTAGCAAAAGCTGATCTGTCTGTCCTATTCAATAGTGCCCAATTCTGCCACCTTCACTCCTGTTGAATAGTACCTTTCTCTGTGAGCAGCCCCACTAAAATGTTCTGAACACAAAGTGACAGTCTGTTAACAGGGATTCCAGACAAGTGAGGGATATAACAGAGAGACCAGGAAAGATGTCAGGTCAGGACAGAAGCAATTGTGGATGAAAGGTAAGAGGCCAAGGGTCTTGGTACAGATCCATAAGTCAGCATGGAAGCAAAGAAGATACAAAAAGAATAAGGAAAGGTGCAAGAGCCATGAAAAATGGGAGAAAAGTTTCAGAAGCCTGGGCAGAAAAGTAAGATTACTTATAGATTAACTCATTGTACAGTTTAAGCAACATCAAAAACCACACAGAAAGTTGTTGGGTTTAGGAAAATGTTCTATGTCCAGAACACCTATATCTATGTTAAGCAAATATAATTTTAAATTTACTTCAATCTTTTGATATTAAAATAATGAATTTGTTACTGAGAATTATTATACAATCTACGACACAGGTAATCTATTCAAATGTAAATCAAATTGGAATCCCAGACAGTCATATGTACTTCTTCATTACTGAATAATCTGATGATGATGTGTGGGTGGCTTACATGATAATATGGTCATTTTTACCATTGCTTATTCTTTCAGCCAGCTTTGTTCGGATTAGATAAAGGTAGACAGTTACGCAAAACTAAGGGTCTAGTTCTCAGATCAAGCATGCAGTTATTTACTACAATATATCGGTAATGTCAGATACTACACTGTGGCTATTTTTGCAAGATACGGGGTGATGCACTCCCACATGCTGAACTGCGATTAAAACTGAGTTTTACATTTTCCTGCAGATGCTGGGGTTTAATGGCACCAGAGTTAAGTCATGTTGCACCAAACATAGTGAATAAACTTAATTCACTATTAATGAAGATGCCATAGATACTGCCCACTGAATTCTACTGAAATTTACAACATTTAAAAAATGTTTTCATGAGGTGAAACACATCATAAATGTTTCACATGCAGTATGACTCATCACAGTGTCCCATTGCCTAAAAACCAACATAGGCCATTAGCAGTTACTTGCAGCTATCCATTCATGCATAACACATACATAAAGAGTACTGTAATCTTAATGAAAATATATCCCAACTGCATTCATTACTGTGAATACTATTGGTATTCTAATAGTATTGGTATTCTAGTATTCTAATACTACCTAGTGATTTTTTAAGAATTTAAAATAATGTATTTTAGGATTTTAGCTTCCAGTAATAACTTTTCTAGTGCTTACATGAAATATGAGCTCTCTGACAAAGTATAGATAGGAAAAGAGCTAATCTCTTCATTACTCTTGTTTTAATAGTCTACAGTAATACTGATATAGACTGGGTTTAAGGTGTTAAAGTACTGTCATTAATGTTAACTGTACATCACATCAGGCAGTCTGCTAATTCAAACAATGAAAATACCAGAGCCAAATCTTCTTATCCTGTCTATAAGCTGATAGAGAGCACCTCGTTTTTTTGACGTCCCATGCTCACCAAAGCCACCTTTAAAAAGAAAAAGGAAATATTATGGAAGTTAAACACAGAACATTACACATATAGCAAATATCTTATGGAGAGAGATTAGGAATTACTCTGTAGAATATGCAATGTATCTTTAAGGAAGTTTAAAATTCTTTAATGACCCACATACAAATTCTTCAAGCATTTTTGACAATGAAACAAAACCACATTTGTAGCTGAAAGATTTTCTAGCATGCATTCCAGAACGTAAGCCAATGTGTCTTTGTTATTCAGACAAGTCATGACAATTACATCATCTAATTATTATTTGAAGCTTTTTTTCTTCTCCGTGACCTTGACATCCTTAGTGCCATATTGATTGACAGCTAGATGCCCTGCTTTCACAGATATTTCCTAAATGTATACCACAATGTTCCCATATCTAAGGGCGGGGGGGGGTATGTTAAGACCCCAAGAGGAAACAAACAAACAAACAAACAAAACAACATGATTTAAAAAAGTAATATGATTGATTTTATCCCAAAAGCTTTGCAGTTCTTTGTTAACTTGCAAATGGATCTTTAAAGCACAGTCAGTCACATAAGGGTGGCTAACCTATCAAATACCAAAGTATAGTAACATGACCTCTGAGGCATTCCTGTGGAGCTCCAATAATCAACGAGTGAGAGGGAAGCAGAAAACCTATCCAAAGAGGCAGCTGGAGTTTCATTGTCTGAACATTTACCATCCCACTTACAGGCATGCACCAGATTAATTTAAACCACATATGCCATCTATAGCAGTCTGTTGACTACTTCGGTTTCATAGTGGTTCTGATACTTTAGTTATTATTGCATATCACCTTTAAAAAAGATTAGTAAGCAAGAAAAAAGAATGCCAGCAGTACTGTGGTGTGCAATGAATAACAGAATATCTTAAGAGGTTTTAGATAACTTTATAGAATTTCTAGAAGTACATTTTTTTAAACAAAGCAGTATTTGCTGTGAAATATCAGTGTTTCCAAGCTACTGCAGCAGGAAGAGGTGGCTAAGAATAAAGGATTGCAGAAGTCATAATTAGCCATACTAGTTCCAACAATAATTTCCTCAAATTCTTTTTCCTCTTACATTTTTTTCACAACAATTTCTGCAACATTTGAGGATGTATTTACCACAATAAATAAATAAAATAAAATAATAATAAAGATATCCTATCTCCTAGAACTGGAAGGGACCTTACAAGGTCATTGAGTCTAGCCCCCTGCCTTCACTAGCAGGACCAAGTACTGATTTTGCCCCAGATCCCTAAGTGGCTCCCTCAAGGATTGAACTCACAAACCATGGGTTTAGCAGGCCCATGCTCAAACCACTGAGCTATTCCTCCCCCCTAAATAGCTGTTCAAAAGGCAGATTACAGACTACACAATGCCATAAAAGGCAAGTAAGTTAGCATGCTTACTCAGTGAATAATAATGTGCCTAATTATTTGGATTACACTGTCATATACTTGCTGGATCCCTTGAGAAAAATTTTCCAAATTTTTAAAAACATTTTAGGAAGATGAGGTAATACTTCAATACATTCCTTCCCAAGGAATTATTTGGTTAGCTATAGTATATGCCATGCCACATACATGCATTTCACATTGCCCATTATTAATGCAATTATCTCATGTTAGCATTTACTTTGCAAAATTATGTATGGAGTAAAAAAATCCAGACAATTGTGAGGGGGGAAAAAAATCTTTAGAAAACAGGCAAATGTGAAAGAAATAACAGTAATAGAGAGGAATCCATGACCTTATTGATATAGGAAGCTATTATTCCTTTATTATCTATAGTTATTACAACAAAAATAAGGAGTAAGGTAGTACACTAGTAGTGGTAGTCTAATAACACACACTATGTATTTTGTTTGATGTACAAAAGGATTACTGTCAAATAAGAAATTAAATCAGAATATCTTAAAATAGCTAACCTGACTTATTTTATATGACTAATGCATATACTATAGAAAGTACATGTCAAGCCTCAAGCTAACCAAAAGTGAATTTAAAAAATCTACAAAAAGAAGAACAGGAGGACTTGTGGCACCTTAGAGACTAACAAATTTATTAGAGCATAAGCTTTCGTGGACTACAGCCCACTTCTTCGGATGCATATAGAATGGAACATATATTGAGGAGATATATATACACACACAGACAGAGAGCATAAACAGGTGGGAGTTGTCTTACCACCTCTGAGAGGCCAATTAATTAAGAGAAAACAAACTTTTGAAGTTGATTATCACTTCAAAAGTTTGTTTTCTCTTAATTAATTGGCCTCTCAGAGGTGGTAAGACAACTCCCACCTGTTTATGCTCTCTGTCTGTGTGTGTATATATATCTCCTCAATATATGTTCCATTCTATATGCATCCGAAGAAGTGGGCTGTAGTCCACGAAAGCTTATGCTCTAATAAATTTGTTAGTCTCTAAGGTGCCACAAGTCCTCCTGTTCTTCTTTTTGCGGATACAGACTAACACGGCTGCTACTCTGAAACTTTTAAAAAATCTACATGTTTTAAGTTGGGGGCAGGGAAATAGTATTTTTGGCAGATATGTAAAAATTATCTACATAATAGCTCTTTGTTGTTTATTAAACTATTATTACTTATACAGCACAATGTATAAGTGTTGCCTCACAGGCCAACAAAATGTCAGGGCCTTGCCCTGCGAAGCTCATAATGGAATTGTCTGAACCTGCAAATCTAAGAAGATAATCCTTACTCAACTGAGTAGTCCCACTGCTTGAGTCAGAGTTTGGAAGATCAGGCCCTGCACTATTATTTACAATACAAGAGCCAAATCCTGCAAACACCAGTCTAGCTATTATACTCCCCCATGGCTAGTTTTTCCCACATTATATCACTTTGTCTTCAATAGGAATTTACATAGGAACAAATATACACAATTATACAAGTAACTATTTGCATAATCAGGACTGAAATTATTTTATTTAATTGTGACAAACATCTGTATATAAGGCTTTTTTAAAAGATGTTTTAAATTGCCCTGGTAAACAATAGCAAAATTTTAAAGAATAAATATAGTTTGAGTTCAGAGATTTTACTTTAAACAGGCTACTTAATTTTTTCTATTTAATAACCGTTTGCACTTTCTTTTCTCAGCTGCTTGGTCATGTCACCCTAACAACCAGATGGCAGAGGAACAAAAAGGTATACACAAAGGACTTAAACATCCACTTAACCTTAAGCACATACTTTTTGTAGGTCCATATATCCTGCAGCCAGACAAGACCACTGTGATCATCTAGTCTGATCTCCTGTATTGCACAGGCCATGGACCCTCCCCCAAAATAATTCCTAGAACAGAGCTTTTAGAAAAACATCAAATCATGATTTTAAAATGGTCAGTGTTGGAGAATCCACCATTGCTCTTGCTAAATTGTTCCAATTGTTAATTACGCTCACTGTTAAAAATTTACACCTTATTTCCAATCTGAATTTGTCTGTCTTCAACTTCCAGACATTGGGTTATGTTACATTTTTCTCTGCTAGATTGAAGAGCCCATTATTAAATATTTATTCCCCAAGTAATACTTGTAGACTAATCAAGTCACTCCTTAACCTTCTCTTTGCTAAACTACCGTAAATAGATTGAACTCCTTGAGTATCACTATAAAAGCATGTTTTCTAATCCTGTAATCATTCTGGTGGCTCTTTTCTAAACCCTCTCCAATTTATCAACATCTGTTTTGAATTGTGGACACCAACACTGAACACATTATTTCAGCAGCGGTCACACCAGTGCCCAATACAGAGGTAAAATAAACTCCTTACTCTTATTTGAGATTTCCCTGTTTATGCGTCCCAGCATTGCATTATCTCTTTTGGCCACAATGTTGCATTAGGAACTCCTGTTCAGCTGATTATCCACCATGACCCCAAAATCTTTTTTAGAATCACTGATTCCCAGGATAGAGTCCCCCATCTTTTATGTATGGCCTACATTCTTTGTTCCCAGATGTATATGTTTATATTTAACTGTATTAAAATGTGTATTGCTTGCTTGCACCCAGTTTACCTAGTAATCTAGATTGCTCTGACTCAGTGACCTATCCACTTCATTACTTATGACTCCCCCAATTCTTTGTTATCTGTAAACTTTATCAGTGATGATTTTATATTTTCTTCGCGGTCATTGAAAAAAAAAAATAGTTAAATAGTGTAGGGCCAAGAACCGATCCCTGCGGGAGCCCACCAGAAACACATCGAGCCAATTCTCCAATTGCAACTTTATTTTGAATCCTGCCAGTTAGCCAGTTTTAATCTATTTAATGTTAATTTTATATCAGTCTAGTTTTTAATCAAAATGTAATGCAGTACCAAGTCAAATAACTTACAGAAGTCCAAGTATAATCTGTCAACACTACTATATTTATCAACCAAACTTCTAATCTCATCAAAAAGATATCAAGATATTGCAATGAGTGGCAGTTAACCACACATTTAAGTGTTTTGTTAAATATGGGCCAAAGTGCCATTATAGTATATACATGTAATAATCTGAATTTAGAAAAATCATGTATTTATAATGTAAAACGAGACCAACTTTTTCAAACGTAATATTCTAAATCTATCTGTCAAAACAAAAGTACAAGTCTTAAAATGATCACTTAGGGCCCAGTCCAGCTCCCAAGATCTGTACCAGAAGTTGAATCAGTGCTTTAGGGCCCGGTTCTATTTCTATTATTCCTATAATCTCCCAGTGGGGACTACTGGAGGATTATGGTTGACAGAATCTGGTCCTTAACATGGTACCACAATCTGTCCCTGAAAAGAATACTCCCACTTGGCTGGAATAATGCACATCCCCCAACATAGGGAGGAAAAGAAAATTAAACTGTAGAACATTAAATATGATAAGAAACAGCTTCAAAAATTATCTTGCATCTGTCTGGCAATCAGGGCCAGCTCCAGGCACCAGCTTCTCAAGCAGGTGCTTGGGGCGGCCACTCCCGAGAGGGGCGGCACGTCCAGGTATTCGGCGGCAATTCAACAGAGGGTCCCTCACTCCGCCTGGGAGCGAAGGACCTCCCGCCGAATTGCCGCCGCAGATCGCGATTGCAGCTTTTTTTTTGTTTTGTTTCGTTTTGGCTGCTTGGGGCGGCCAAAACCCTGGAGCCGGCCCTGCTGGCAATCACCAGAAATATCTTTGTCACTTTCAAAGACATCATCAGAGGTATTAAAACAAGTCTGCATGTCAAATAAATCACTCAACTACAGCTACTTTAAAGGGAAATTACTGACCTTGCTCTCTATATTTTGTCAGCAAAACCAGGACCTGAAATACTTCAAAGCCAATTAAAATGATTTGTTTGAGAAAATGTTAATAAGAGTCAGTGAATTTTTTCAATCCAATTTTGATCTAGAAAAGATCAAAGATGATCCTGCCTAGAACAAACAGGTGGCTTAAGAAGAAAATAAAAGAAAACGCCAGGATAATATACAGATATTCTAATTATTATATGTAGTTACAAAGAAGAGTAAATCCGTGGGAAAAAAATATTTTAAACATATTTATAAGAAAAATTAACAATTAGAAGGACCATCTTCATCTGAACGGGCCCTTTCCTTCAAATCATTCCTCAAGACACACTTCTGTTGCAACATCTATAAAAAAAAATCACCAAATTAATGTTGGCAAAGTTAGAGGGTCAGATGGGGGCAACTGAAATTTACATATATATTTAAAAAAGGAAATGTATTTTAAAATTTTATGTTTGCATTTCAAGTGGGCTGTAGTCCACGAAAGCTTATGCTCTAATAAATTTGTTAGTCTCTAAGGTGCCACAAGTACTCCTGTTCTTCTTATCATTTTTCTACACTCTTCATATGTCACTTGTCTTTTAAATCCCATTTTCCACAAACTACCCCAAATACGACTAGAGAAGACTGCAAGACTAAGGCCTACAGCTATGCAGCAGAAACTTCGTTTTCCTATGTGCATGTACTGTACCTAACACAACAGAGAACTAAGCCTGATTGCAGCTTCTTGTACTTCTGCATTATAAATACATACACACATAAATAATAGCAGATACACACACACACACTTGTCTAGTAAATATTTATTTGGCCATCTCTAAGACCAGTTTTGCAGTCCAACATTGAAACAAATAAAGAATTTAACGAATAATCAAGCCCCATGGTATTTTGACAAATTCCTGGAGTATTCCATGAAATGAACATTCTAGGATGCAAATCATACAGGAAATCACGGTTCTCTATTGAAAATTCCATATGGGCAAGATTGTTACTATATGCTCTGCCCTGAACAAGGCACAACAACATGTTGTGGTGTATCTCCTGGACCAGCCTAAGAGGGAGACTGTGATTCACTGAGGAAAATCTCCCTTCTAGTTTCACATCAGTATACATTCCCCAGCAGGTCAGTGCAGCTGTGCCAGATGGCATGTGAAGGGGCAAAGCCAAGACTTCACCCATTCCTGAACCTGTCCTGCCCCCCTGCATAGGGACTTACTCCTCCTTACTCTCTTACGCTGCCATGATTTGGCCCCAGCTGAACACTAAACTTTATTTTTATGTTCCAGAGAAGAATTTTCATTAGAAATACCAGGAATAAAATCAAAATTCCATGACTTTTCATTGCCTTTTAGAAAGCAAACTTGTAATGATTAAACAACTTTATAAAGTTTAAAACCAATATTACCCCTAGATGATACCGTGTTTTGTAGGTTTAAAGCATGGGTTGTGTTCTGTGAATGAATAAATATAGGTTAAAATAAAAATTTTGAAAGTCACACCTTTAACGTCATACCTGTGTTATGTCCAAGTCTTTCATTTGAATGCTGTGTAAGGTCAATTGTCCTGTCAATTTGAAAGATTTTTAAGTCTTCATCATCTAAGGCAATATCTCCCCAAAAGACAGCTTTAAATAAAAGAGAGCAGAATTTAATTAAACCATTTACTTTAACATTAAAACCAATCTGAAGAATACATTGTGATGTCACAGCTCATGAAAAGATATATACCCAGATTTTATAATGTTGACTAGTTCATAAAAACCTCGGGAACATGCATTTTAATCCACTCCAATATTTCCCCATTTACCTTTAATATCCCTTTAGCTTTAATTATTTATTTTATGGACATTTTAATTTTGCTGTTGAATTGAATACATGCAATCATACAAACATGACAGTAATCTTAAACAAATCCTTCTATTTTTTCCTCTATACACACAATAAAGAAAAATAAAACAGGGAATTAAAGTTTTTTTTTTTAATATGAAGTCCATCAAAACAGGAATTTCACAAAGATACAGCCCATAATATAATATAGCCTGGAAAATGAAGACAGAAAAGACTAGTTTGTCTTTAATATGTTTAGTGCATATTTTATAACGTGTTATATATATTCGTCAGATTGTTTATCTGTTTCACGAAGACAAAAAGTTTTCTTTCCCATTATCCTCCTGCTTGACCTATATATTTCCTTTACATGGTTTAATCCCACATTTTGTGTTCTCTGGCTACTCTGGCTTTCATGGCTTTATAATCTCCTGGTTTTCTTCCTACCTCTCTGTTAGCTTCTGCTTTGGTGGCTCTTCCCTTCTACTTTTCCTAATCTCAGTAGCATTCTCTCAGGTTTTTGTTCTTGGTCTCTTCTTCTTTCCTCTGTACACTTGTATGATCTCATATATCTTAAATTGTCATCCCTTTGCTGATCCAAACCAAAGGGCCAGGAGCTTTGAACAGCTAAAGCTGAGTAAACTAGATGCGTGCTCATCTGTCTTTAGCCCAATCTCTCCCTCTCTTCAGGATGAAATATCAGCAAAAATAGATGCAAAACTAAAGTCCAACTCAAGCTTGTGGCAAAAGCTAAACTCAGCAGGCCAGACGCTCAACTGTCAATAGAGCTTTGCCAATTTGCATTGGCTGAAGTTATTGTTTATGATCTTTTCCCCAAATTCTTCCTTTTCCCACAACTGAAACCCTTGTCCACACTTCATCCACTGCAATACTTCATCTCTGGTGTCCCTATATGTTCATTCAAATCCATGCAAAATGTTTTTGTTAATGCTTTCCTTTCCTATTACTCTAACCATGTAATTCCCCTAGATGAAACCCCTTCTGGCTTTTGCTTGCTGTAAAGATTACATTTTCTTTTATTTATTGATGTTTTGTTAGCTGTTATTTAATCAAGTTTGCATCATAGAAGTCATTATTTGTAGGGTGTCTTTGCTGGGGAACTCCTGTGCAGTGCATACCCATTCCCTATATCCATAGCACTCACTCTTGAACCCAAGGCTACCAGGAAAAACAAATCACATTGAAAATAACTTCACTATTTTTTGTAACTGGAATGGCCACATAGAGTAACCATCATAATTTGATATACATTTTACAAAGGTTGAGTACTTTACATATTAAAAAATAGCTAAAAATCAGTAAAAAAAATAAATAATAAAGGGCAGAGAGCCAGACAATACTAAGTAGGAGGTGAAATAACTCCAGAGTTATAAACCATTTTTATTTATAGTACTTGGTTCAAAATTAGGAGCTGAAGTACAAGCCTCATCTTGCCAGTTTTGTAAGCGTAGTAAATTGCTTCTTTTATTCTTTAGGGAAAAAATCCCAGAATATCTACACTACAGGGTGCAAATGAACGCATTCATTTTAAAACAAAATGTTTTAGAACCTTATGCGTAATGTATTTTTAAACTTGAACAGTTTTATTTATTACATAAAATAATAGCCTTCTAGAAACAAATTTGTGTATTTGAGGGCATTCCAAATACCTTTGAACTATTCAGTCACTCTCTATATATATCCTTTTAACATCTTCCTCCTAAGAGGCACTGATTCAGCAGAAACATTATCCCTTCCAGTTCACCTCATCAGTAGTACATATTATGGACAGACATCATTTTACCAGTGACCTGTTTCCTGTGACTGGGATTCACTATTGCAGTCTCAGTGTTACAGATGGGAAACTGAAGCACAAAGAGATTATGTGATTCGCTGAGGCTGCGTAGGAGGTCTATGGCAGAGCCAGGAAATACAAGGGAGATTTTGATCATATTTGTGCTAACACTAAAAAGAAGAGAAAAAAATCACTGATGCCCCCTGATACTAATTTTGTACCAGTTTCCTAAGCTTTCACAGTTCATATTTAATTTTTTTCAGACTTTCAGTTGCTAGTGACAAGGGTGCTAATTGGCAGCAATAATTGCCACCTGCTAATGACAGCAATGCAAAGTACTTGTTTAGTATTGTTCTATGAGACGTCTGGTTGACAATTTTGAAGCAGAGCAGCAAAAAGGAAAGCTAAATTATAAAGAGAGAAAATTGTAAGCAAGTTACTCTAACTTACTAACTATTTCTCTACTGGTATTATTTCAGAATCATCTTCCAAAGACACTGAGCGACCTTCTCAAAAAATGAAAACCAAAGTGAAGATATGGATATGAATTTGTTCCCTCCAGAGAGGGCAGAAGGAAAGGTACATGTTTCTGAACTCCAGGACACTTTTCCTATCACCTTTCTATACAGAAGGCAGAGAGAATAGTAGTGATAAAGAGGATAACTTTGCCGTTAGCATAGCACAAAATCCAGCCTTCTTTGATAATGGAGAAGTTTCATACCCAGTGTATTGACAAAGGTCTGTTCAATTTTCAGAATTTCAGTGACAAATGTATAGCTTCCAAATGGGAGTACAAACTTAAGAAATGGTATCTCTCACCTCTTGTTTTTGAATGAAAACTACCAAATGTTATCAGAGGCATTGGTTGATTATTGTATTCTAAATCCACAGTGTGACAGGGTCGGTAGCTCACCGGTGTGGCGCCTCCTCCTGGCCGCTTTGGGGAATTAGTTTTGCACCAGTAGAGCGCCCTCTTTGGGTGGCATTCCGCCTGTCGTCTCGCCTCTGTGGGGTGCACGGACTTGCGTTGCTCCCGACGTCGGCGTCCTCTTCTGGAGCACTGCCCTCCGACAGTGTCCCTTTGTCCAATCACACCCCCTTTCGGGGGGTGGTTACACAACAGCCCCACACCCTCGAGTCTGATCCTCACAGTCCAGGACCTGGTGTGGTTCTGACCGGCCACTCCCTGCGGCCCGTGGCTGTGCGTGGGGCAGCACAGCAAACAAAGGGGGAAAAAGGGGGGGGGAACTCAG